GGGCTCGGCAGCCCTCAAGAAGTCCTCAGTGCTGAAGAAGCCTTTTCCAAGCCAGCCTTCTTCTGGCTAGTGTTCTAAAATTCTTAGTTCTCAAAACTACGAGATCTATTCTATATATATATAGGCCATCAATCAATCTAATTTGGCCTGCCCTTTCTTCGTGTGCTAATTGGTTGGGCATTGAAGTATTTTAGTAGGGCGGTTTTCGTCCATTCTGACAACGTGACCTGCCCATTTAATTTGTTCTATTTTGATGAAGTTAACAATGTCAGATTCTTTATATGATTGATAGAGCTCTTAATTTGATCTTCTTCCCTACGTTCCATTTTCCTGAATTCCTCCAAAAATAAATCTTCCTTTCGTAGATACTTATCATGATTTCATCTGTTCGAGACATGGACCAAGTTTCACATGCATTCCGTTGCTTTCAGACGTAGAATTTAGACAGTGTATTTATGTTATAGCTTTTAACATTTTGATTATTAGCAGCCATTTTGGGAACCAATTTTCAGGCAATGACTTCTGTGGGAATGAGAAACTAATCCATAAATAAGGAAGATTCAATGCAAGAGAAATTTGAATCTTTATTGATAAGCATGGGACAAAGGAAATCAATGCTGCACTGACTCTTGAAAAATTATTAACTTTGATAGCAGAAGTAAAAGTGCTCAAACAGCACAGAAAAAGTGCCACGTGACTATTGCTTACTCCAGTATTATGATATCCTTGAAGTTCAAGGAGTAGAAAAGTTCATTATGCCAAGATAAGTTAATTATTAGATGCAAAACATATTTTTTTTTCTTTCTGTTTAGCTAATGTTAGCAATGTGAGTAATAATAAATCATATCTTCGGCTTTTTCTTATAATTTATCAATTAATCATCTGCAATAGGATAAGTTGTATTTTTCGAGAGGTTTTGGCTTATAAAATAACTTTGAAATTGTTTATTTTTCTTTAACAGTCTAGCATTAGTTGTTTCATAGAATAACTAATTATTTCATAGAGTAACTAGGTAAAGTATCAGATGTTTCATTTATTATGTAATTTAACTGATTTCTTTAGTTATGTCACGAAATGCCTATTTATTCTATGAAATAACTGAATTATACACTTTAACGGTAGCTTATACAACATGTTAATTGATCCTTATGCATATAACGTTATAGATTACGCCACCCATCCGGCATAGTGGTTAGTGATGCTGACTGCTGTGCCAAAGGGCCTGGAATCGAATCCCGGAGAAAGCATGGATATTTATAAATGTATAGTGCCGTAGTGGCAATGGTTATTCCAGATAGCAGTCAAGCCGCAAGTCCTCTCGTGAGGTTGGAGTATGGGGATGAGAGATCTGAGGGCCTTGACCCCCCAAGGAGTTCTCCCTCAAAATTGGAGTGGAATCGAGTCAAATCGCACTGTCATCTGTATGGTGCTCAAAGTCACGGCTAACGACAGGCATACATGTAGCCCTTTGCCGCGATGAATTTTGGGGGCCTTGATCTGATTTTACTGTCGATCAGATGGCACAAGTAATAACAACACTCATAGATTACTGATTATTGTATTGATTTGATTAGTTTCAGGAAGTCGTAAACTGAAATAACACTCTGTATAAAGAAAATAGTACCTCGCTATGAGATTGAAGGAAGGAAGATTCGATTTGTGTACCTTCCGTTCCGAACGCAAGTACTTTATCGACCACGCCAAAACAATTGTCATCGCATGATGTTTGGTACAAGTTTATATAGATGTCACACCTGCCACATACCCTCATTCCAGTGATTTGGCGAATAGGCGAACGAACGGTACTATATTCATGTTGAGCATGTAAGCAGTTGCGTCATTCATGCGTGACGCCTTGAGAATTGCGTCATTTGTGTCAGACGGCTTTGTGTAACGGCTTAATTGCGTCATTTGTGTCTGACGGCTTAGCTGCTTTTGCGGTGGATCGATGGCGCCATGACTGCGGTGTGTGAAGGGTGCGGTTCTTTTTCACGGCCAGGGTCACCAATGAAGGAAGAAAGATTCGATCTGTGTACCTTCCGTTTCGAACGTAAGTACTTTATCGAACACGCCAAAACGATTTTCATCACCTGATGTTTGGTACTAGTTTATACAGATATCACACCGTCACAAGATTAAGATGCTGCATTTGAAAGGTTTCAGTGGCCAGTAAATCTCTGAGGGAATTAGGATTCTTTTTGAAAGATGGTCCGCCATATGATACTGTTTTAGATCTTCCTCAAAGACAATGCAAGTAGTGAAGACTTTTACTAAAGATAGATAATTCTACCAAGAAGAGAATAGAGGATTTCATTCTATCAGACTTAAGAGCTTCTATATGATCATGAATTAAACTTATCTTGATTACGGCAGTTCGAAAAATATTATTCATAAAAACACTGCACGAGTCAAAGATGTCACGACTACTGTCTCCTTTTCAGAAGGGCTCGAATTTTCAAGGGTGATTTTGAATCTTTTGGATCAAAATAAAGAGAATTTTTTTGATTTCCTGGTAATTTTGGACCCATCTATAAGATCCATAGACCAGTGAAATGAGCCAGTAGTGAAAGCACAACAGCTCACATACCTCCAAGAAACCTAAGGGGAAACATGTCGTCAGTTTTTGAGACTGTTGTGGAATGATCTTCACAGGATACTTACAAAATGATCAGATCCTCACTTATGCTTATTACTGCTCAATGCTGAACAAATTGCGGGATGCTCTGATTAAAAGAATGGCGTCGTAAAATCACCAAAGCTGTATACGTGCTCATGCTAATAATGCAACTGCTCCCTTATTTCAAGAAATTAAAGTGATGGGGCGCTGTAATTTGGCCACATCTGCCTTATTCATCCAATCTTGCCCCAAACGACTTATTCCTGTTTTAAGAACTGTAATAAAAACATTGCAGGGTCCGAGATTTGACAACACAAAGACGTCACTCATGTCATGATTTTAGATTCGACTACTCCAAGATCCACAAAGAACAAATTATTCAGAATCGGTTCAGGGAAACATTTTCTGATAGCAATTGACTATTAAAAATAGTCCGTATTTTCAACAATTTAAAAATATTTGGGATATACTGGAACAGTGGTTATTACTAAGTGTGGTTTTCTATTCCATCATCAGTTCAGCATCTAGGTAAAAAAAAGTTGTACAAATCTGGTCGTCAATAAACCCTCAAGCTGTAAACAATCTTACTGAAACAACAGCATATCAGACATGGGTGTTTATCTAAATCAATGGTGGTAAAATCAGATATTAAAGTGTTCAACTTTTTGGTTTGAAAGTGAATGAATTATAAATAATTATGCATGTCAAATAACTGGAAATCATATTATAATTTTGTTCTTTGATTTTAAAAATTAGTATTACAAGTATTATATTTAAACTAAATTATTAACCAAAGTACAATGAAAACTTCAGGTATAATTTAAATTCAAAGTTATAGAACTCACATGAAATCATGTGGAACACTCGTATCTAAAAGTACTAGTGTTAGAATTTTGTGCAACATTTACATTGTACCACTGAAAATTACTCAGAGACCAATTTCTTACATACGTTAAGAATTTGTGACAATTCTGAACAACAATAAAGGTAAAACCAACGCAAAAATTTGCAACAGTAAAGCAATATTTACTGACAAACAAGTAAAAAATAGAAACGAGAATTGTACTGTTTTCCAAATAAATGTATGACATAAATCCACTGAAATTAATATATTATTGGGCCGCTATTTTTACTATAAATATTATAAAATTTATTTTTCATACACGTAAAAATATTTTTGAGTTTAGACATCTTAACTGCTCCACACATCTATACTAGAGGTTCCCAAACTTTTTTTGTCTCATAGACCCCTTGCCATGTTTTTCAGTTTTGTGTAGACCCCTGCGTACCCAATATTGAATTTTTACAAAATTATCAAAATGTCTTTTTAACAGCTAGTTTTCTACTTACTTTCAAAAATTTAAATTTCGAACTGTTGTGTTGTGTTTAAAACTTAAGAAATGGATGTTAATTAAATTAAAATGTAATTAATACGTAAAATGTTAAATAAAATAACTGAGCAACAAACAAATGCTTTTAATGAGAATAATGAATCTGGTGTATCTATAATAAATTTTCAACATATGGCATCTCTCTCTCAGTCTTGCCAGATTTAACCATAAATCTCCTCAATTTAGTCTTTTTTTTCTACTGTGGTATTACCATAGTCAAACTTATTTTGAAAATCTGAATAAAGGGCATTTAAATGTTCAAATTAGGTTAAAACATCAATTTCCTGGCAGTTTGTCTGTGACAAATTGTGAAACTGAGAAAATTCGTGGATTATTATACTCCTTTAGTTTAATTTTCAAAAGAAACGCTAGAATGATGGTTCTTGTTTTAATACAATTTATGATGTTACCTTGTTATTGCAAATAAACCTCAATAAAGTTACTAAATAAATCTGTTAAATAGGTAAAATCTGATTTCCACTCGATTAAATTTCCCTTTAAAATTTAAGTCACGATCTGGTTTAATGAGAGACTATCGTACACCCCAATTTGCACCTCATGGACCCCCAAATTTATTTTTCGCTGACATAGACCCCTTACAAGTCGTCATAGACCCATGGGGGTCAATATAGAGCACTTTGGGAATCACTTATCTATACAATGTAGCTCCTTCAGTTCAGCAATAGAGTATACTTCAAGTTATTTGCTTGTATTCGATGAACTAGGAGTTCCCAAACTTTTTCCATGGAATTGATGTCTAGATATCAGAATGGCTAATCCAATTTAAATAGGAGCAACTAATCACAGTTTTGTTAGCAGCTAGTCACTATTTGGTGCTGCTGCTACAATGAATAAAAGCCTTGTCTTGCTGAAGCATTCGTTAGAAAAAAGAATATACATAGCTTAAAAATAAAAGTTTTAGAAATAGACTGCTTTTCATTGTAACACACAATGCAATATTTAGTTCAAATAACTAAATACAGTGCCGCTCAGCCAGTATGGTGGAAATGACCCTCGGCTTGTAACCGAGAGGGCTCGGGTTTGAAACCCGAATAAGACATGGTTATGTGTTTTCTTCAAGGAAAAATTGTCGGACTTTCACCTGCAATGGATTCCCGTCTCGAATGGAAAGCAGTGCACCCCTCTTGTTATATGCTGGGATCATCATTTGTAACAAATGTTTATATTCTTCTGTTTGTATGGTATGTTTCTGTGTTCTTCCACTCGCGTATTTCATATGTATCCCAGAATAAAAACACATGACAACAACACAACTAAATGCAGTTATAATTTTTATCGAAGAGAATAAAATATTTCATTATTGAGAAAAAAAGTACTTTTCCATTAGCTCCTAGGTATAAAAAAACTAAGTTTAAAGGTGTATTAATAATATTAAATTATTTTATATACTTTAACACTATATTATTGTAAGATTTTATTTAAAAAATTAATGAATTAATAAAATACTTTATTAAATATATAATTAAAAATCTCTCATCAAAGTCAAATATTCTCGCATTCAACTAACGTAAAAGTAACCCTGAAACGAAAGTAAAAGACATTACATTAAAAGAAATACGAATTTAAAATAAATGCCATTTAACTAATTTGTAAAAGCAGAGAAAAGTAATCTGCAATTTAAATACAGCTTATATGTGTTGCCATATTATCGAATTAATGTATCCCATGATACCTTATCATTATATGCAACTGAACTAATCAATGATTGGTCCTTTATCGTGTTGCGTAATTTAAATGCAGTCAATGGCTATTCTCTTGTTAACGGCCAATGAAAATGAGCCCAATGAATCTAATGCTATAAAGCATATATGTTGTGTATACTACCGTGGGATCTCAAACAGATTTTAAAGTGATAGAATAAAATTTTTGTAAATTTTTAGGAGTATTTAACTTTCTCATTATTATATATACTGTTTACATCTGATAATAAAAAGAAAATATGTCTTCTCACAATGCTTACAACCACTTTTTTGATTCTGGTAATCAATCCAGAGTTCGTAAGCCACCTGGTGGTGATACGAATGATATTTTTGATTTAGAAATTCGACAGAATTTACAGGCTGAGCAGAAATATTTGAATAACGCATCGAATAAACAAGACAAAGATCGCAACGAACAAAGTAAGATTATAATTTTAAGTGCTTTTTGACATATTTTTAATTTATATATGATCGTTTTTGTATCAATGATTAGTTAGGTCTAATCTTAGGCAACCCCATTTTGATCGCCAACTTGGGGAATTATTATTCTAATATTGGATAGAAGTCCAACACATAAAAATTAACTTCTGATATAATTTGGTACAATTTATTCTCGGCAAGCAATGTGGACAAAAATAGGATCTCGAACTAATTTGATATCTGTACGCCAATCGTTTATGCATGATTTTTATATCACGCCAAGAATACAACTATTAGTTAAATTGTAGAATAGGTGGCCCCCAGAATTTGGCGATGTTTATCTGGATGCCAGAATGAATTTTGTTCTTCATTACTTCCGCTTCGATTTACACCTATCGCTACGTATAGCTAGTTGGGCGACTGATTCTTGTCGAAAAAAAATTAGCTTCACCATGGGACCTAATATTCTACACTTTAACCCAACTGTTTGACTGAAAAATCCGTAGCTTATATTGATATTAAATTAGTGCCTAGGATTTTACCGACAAAGAAAAAATGACGTCTAATGACGTTTTTCTATGTTATACTCCGATCCAATCTTATATATTTATTAAAAATGCGATATGTTTTATATTAATCAATAACTAAATTGAGATTTTGTGGCATATCGAGGCTAAATCCTAGTTCAAACCCCTCATTTGGCAACAAAAATTGATGCCAATTTTTTTTAGGATTTTAGCTCCAAGTTGGCAACTCTTACGTACAAGCTGAAGGCTAAGGATATGCATAGAGCAATTTTAAAAAAAAACGCGATTTTTCCTTTAAGACTCTTAGCGCCATAAAAATCAGGTTCAACTATAACTTAACCGGATATTAGATAAGTATACTATTGAGACTGTTATTGATTTCAGATTATGAAGAGAGTTATAATCCAAACTTACAAGAACAATTATTCTTACAATTGGGCGTTGCCACCTTTTGCTCTTAACTTTTAATTCCCAAGAAAACATTTGGTACTTGAGTATTAGCGTTACCGTAGCAAAATTTGCACCACGCGAATCACGCCATAGCAAAACAACACGGGTGTTGTTTTGCGTATTTTATTTGAACACGCGTTTTTTATTTGAAGAAAAACGATTCCCGGGCCGCAATTTAGGTTGCAGTACCACTAATACGTAAGTACAAAGTGACGCTAAAAATAAAAGACGGTACTTACGCACTATCGCAACCTATTGGCGACAGTAAATGAAACGAAAAACATGATTGCCATATCAGCGCATACAGCAATCATGTGCTTCGTTTTGAATAATGTTATCAATGGGTTGCGTTAATACTAAGTACCGAACCTTTCACTGTTCAAATGTAAGCATCGGTCAAAAGTATTTTTCTACTTTATAGAAGAAAGGAGATTCGATCCCTTACCTTTCGCCGGTATTACTGAACAGACAAGAATACGAAAACCACCGGGAGGTGATACGAATGACATTTTTGGCTTGGAGGTACGACAAAAATCTCAAGCCAATATCATTCAATCTAACCAAGATAATGTTTCGGATGTACCTACAACTGCTGGAATGAATATCAGTAAGGAAATGCATTAGTCACTATATAGTACAAAGTAATTATATTAAAATTACTATTTTAATAGTGTTGAAGTTGTGTTATACACATTTATTGCACTTATTGATTTGTGAGAATGTGTAACGTATTTATTTTGTGAGAATTCTTTGTATTTTATTTTTATATATTCTAGCAATACTATCGCATAAAAGTTTTGTAGTAAACTTTGGCATATGACTGTGTTTTTAAACTATATTTATCCTAAAGATGGATTTCTCTCTCTCTCGTTCTGTATGTACATCAGTGGTTCTCAAGCATTCATTACTGGTGACCCAATTTTCAATCATAATTTTTATCGCGCCTCCCCTAAAAATAATAATGTATTGAATGCAATAATAATGCACTTTTTATGGGTGGCCGCTAAAGCTACAATACGATCATAATTATAAACCGCACAAATTAACAAGATAAGTATTAAATTTTGTATATGTTACTTTCAAGTAATATATATTTTTATTATTTTTTTTTTTTACATTTTAGTTCGATTTACTATAAAAGCGCGTTTTTTTTTTATTTTTTTATAAAAAAAAACTATAATTTATTATATATATATATTTACTATGCACAATAAAAATCACAATTCCAGGGAATAATTTAATTTAAGAGAAAATATGCTTATACCAACTTTCAAGGACTTTTCGATTTTTCTTTGATAATTTGAGAAAAAAGTAAAGAAAAGAAAGAAAAAACTAAAGAAAATGTTCCAAATGTGCGTGTCCTTAATAAAGGACATAAATCACGGACACTTTTCGCTAACAATACAGAAACGTTATTTTGCAGCAAAACTGTAATATTTTGTTCACATTTTTGTAGTTTTGCTGTCGTCTGATGATCTGCAAATAGCATTTTGAACTTTTTCTTCCATGTATCTTTTTGACAAAGTGAAGTGCTACATTACGGATTCATAGTTTTTCATAGAGATGTTTAGGCAGCATTTGAAATTTTCAAATCAACTCAAACGTTTCATGTCTAACGCTTTTCTCATTTTTACTTTCACTATCTTGATTAATATGCATTATTTCAGCAGGTTCTTCAATTGCTTGATCAGTTTCAACTTCCTTCGATAGGGATCACAGATGCCCATTTTTTTATATATTCTGCTTATTTACATTTATAATCCATAATAAGTCGTACAACACAGCAATCAAAACCACAAAATTGTTCATGAGGAAAATGTAGCATGTTCTAAAAAATAATTGTGTAAAACGTTTTTCATTATGCATTATATGTTTCAAAATACTCATAAAAATACATCGTGGCCAAATAATCCTTTAAAGTGCTCAATATGCTTATCCATATATCATAAAACTCATTCACATGGGAAAAAGCAACAGAAAAATATTATTTACAACTTTCCTAAAAGAAAAAAAGACGGAATGAAACATACCAGTAAGTTTGAAGGTCAAATATATGATAGTTAAAAGTAGTATTTTAGGGGTTAAAAGAAATGTAATAAGAAATTCTCTCATCTAGGGATTACAGTAAAGCAAACAAAATGTCTTTTTTATTTGGTTATAGAATCAAAGATGGCTAATGAGCGTTTGAAGAGGAATCTTTTATTTTTGATGATCACCAGATGATAAAAATAAATTATATCAGTTTAAATATGTATTTTTTATTATGTCAGAAAGCATTTTGTTTTATTTCATTCCAAAAAATTATTTTTTAAAACCTTTTCTTTTCAATATGCTCGCGCCCCTCTCGTACGGTTACCACGCCCCCCAGGGGGTGCACCCCACAGTTTGAGAAACACTGCTGCACATGCATGGGTGTGTGTATGCATGTGCGTGTGTGTAAGTTGATAAAAATAAACTTCTTTATTCAATACGGTACTTAAGTTCCATGCTGTCAACCAATTTCACTTAACGAAAAGATCTCTCCAATTAAAAAAATTTCATTAAATGAAATCAATGATATTATTACTGTGTTTGACCATAGGGCGTCCACTATTGGCTGTATAACCTAGCATTTAGCGATGTTATGAATTTGATAAAATTGGTCGACCGGTATAATACGTAAATAAGTTTTTTTTATCACAGAGCAAAAATTTCTAATTTACTCTGATAAATCTATAACCACGAGTGGGGGTGGGGGGAGGTCCGAGTGAGTTAACGCACCGCAGCTCCCAAAAAGAAAATGGTGCGAACGTTAGAAATTTAGTGTGCTGAAACTATAAGTAATGACGGTATGCACCTCAAAAATATGATATGTGCAAGTACTATTTTGGCTCTTTTTCATTTCGCCGGCGCAGGCAATAAAGTCGCCAAAAATGATGCAACCCCGACGCTAAAAGAATATT